TAACCAAAAGGCCACAGCACACCCTACCTGTGAATGTTGGAAGGCTTAAAACAGTTTAAAAAAAAAAAAAAGAAAAATAAAAGAGATGTGATCTTAATAATAATATCAGAAGAACTCATGCCGTATTTCTCAGGGTCCCAGGACTGGATTAACCCCCTTCATTCTCTGAAGTCGTCCACTCTGTTTCCCAGACGGGGGGCAGACAGAACTTCCACGGCCTGAGGTCACGGAGACAGACGCCAGGCAGGGCGGGGCGGGGCAGGGCAGGCGGTTACGTGCAGATCCCCAGCTCCTTGCTTGACCCAAAGCACATCGTAGCCCTGGTGCCTGGAGCCAGCTCAGCCAGGCGCATTCCCGGCGTGACACTCCCACCACCCCAGCAGCCCGTTGGTCCGCAGAACCTGAGAAATACACCTGCCAGGAGGCCGACTCCCAGGCTGCTCAGGCTGCTCGCCCAGACACGGAATCCCTTGCTCATTAGTGTTTTAAACGAGAGACTGGCATTCCTCTTAAAAGGGATTTCATGCTTCATTTTTCCTGCTCCATCTCCAGAGCCAGGAGGAGTGAGTGCAAACAATCCCTGCTCGGAGCCCCGCCCGGCAGACATTCCTGCCCCTCGGCCAGTCCTGCCAGCTGGGGACTGACACCCACAGCTGCACTAATCTCGCCCAGTTGCCGGAGCAGCGGAGATGCCCTGTGACAGCCCTGGCCGGAGGCCTCCCCACCCGCGCCCAGGGGCCCGCCGGGTTCTCCGAGCGGTGTGAAAAGGGGCCAGAGCCTTGGGGCTTCACAGGGCCGCTGGGGAGTGGGCGCAGGGGCGGGGAGCCAGCGTCCTCCCCTCCGACCTCTGCCCACTGTCCCCAGATGCTGGCGCCGACAAAGTGAGCCTCCACTTGGCTGAGCCTTGAGTCTCGCACTCTCAGACACACGATGCCGGCCGGCAGACGCCGCAGGCCTTTCCTTGGTCAGGCCGACATTCACCAAGAGCGAGGCCGAGGCGGCGGAGAATCTCAGGGTCTCTCAGCAAGGGCTGGGCAGGCAGACAAGGCTGAGAGAGGGGAGAGAGAAGGGCCTGCGTCTCCTCCATGCCCCCGGCGCCCCCGCCATGGACTCACTCCTAACAAAGTCTGGAGGACTCCAGGCGAGTGAAGGGTTAAAATCCCCTCAGAGACGACCGGGAGATCAATAACGTGACCCGACCCGGAGATCAATAACGTGACCCGAGCCAGGGGCCTCAGCCCACAGCAAGAGCAGCAAGTGCCACGGTGCACGGAGGTCAGGTCTGAGGTAGCTGCTTTGCTCGTGCAGACCCTGACCCCGACCCCGAGGCCCAGCCAGGAGGCAGGGCGCCTTCTTCGCCTCGCACTTCCCTTCGCAGCCTTCCTACGGCCTGCGGCCTCTGGCTGAAACATCCCTGTTTTTCTCAAGCCTGGTCAGATCACAATGACGACTCGATCAACCACTGGGTACATTTTAACTGAAATAATGTCAAAATTACTTATTACCCCATCTCCTTTAATCAAAAAGCTACCCAAGATTACACAATAACTCAGGCCAAGTTTGGCCTCTGGAGCCTGCCCTCTCGGCTGATGCCAGTCAAGAGTCGCCCCCACAGCACCAGGCCCACTGCCCCCTGCTCCTAACCCTGCTCTGTGGGCCGCCGAGCTCCTGAGGCCGCGGCGATACCCCACGAACTGGATTTCAAGCCCCATGATGGCAAGAAAGCAAAACAGCACCACTGACACTTTGTGTACAGCCATGCTGACTGTCTGTTTTGACTACCGTGGTAGGATAATCGGCGGAAGCCTTCGTACTGCCTCTTTTCTGCACAGGGCTGAAACTCAGGGCCTCACACATGCCAGGCACATGCTCCAGCACTGAGCTGCACCCACCCTAGCCTGTGTTATGCTTTTTAAAAGGAGGCTACTAGAAGATTTCAAAGGATGCCTGGGCTCACATCCTACTTCCGCTGACAGCACTGGCCTGGACGGTCCTCCCAGCAGTGGACAGCTTACTGCTCTACTCCAGTCTAAGCAGTGAGCAGGGCCTCCCATGTCCAGCAAGGCCCGCTCACACAGGGACGCTCCCTCTGCACCCACCTGCTCCCTGGGTCTGTGGGGTATTTTTTGTTTGGGGTGGTGGAGTAATACTGAGGATTGAGCCCAGGGCCTCACACTTGCCAGGGCTACAATCCTAGCACTTTTTAAACTGCTAAGTTGCCCAGGTTGTCCTGGAACTTGGAACCTTCCTGCCTCAGCCTCCCCAGCAGCTGGGATTGCAGGCGTGCGCCACCACAGCCTGCTACAACACCTGCAGGTGAACGCCCCCGGCTTCCTGTTCAGGTGCCCGCACCCGAAGGCTCCCTGCCCCTTTCCCCGCCTCGGCCTCCTGTCTGGGAAGCACACAGAAGGGGGTGTAGCCACAGCTGACCTGAGAGCCGGACTCCGCCGGTGGCCTCGCGCCTCCCTTTCACTTGAGGCTGACGCTGCGTTAATTTGAAACACGGCTGAGCAGGGGAACGCGGACCCAGAGTATACTCCTTTGGATTTCCAACACTTTTTTAAGGCACAACAGGCGCCTCGCCAGCTTTGTGGGGAGGGCTAGGAGGGGCCAGGGCAGGAGAGAGAGAAACTAGCAGCTGTTTCGAGTTACAGACTTTCTGTCTAGGCTGGTAGCATCCCACTGTGGCTCTGCTGCCTTTGGGGTTTGAAAATGGAGTCGGTGTCTATTTTAGTTCTGGGTTAACAAGCAGTCTATCCCACCGGCCACTGTCGCAGTTCACAGCCCAGCCCGCTGGCCCATGTATGCCCCTGGGGCTCCTCTGATAGCAGGCTATTATGTGGACCAGCAGAGCAGAGAGGAGCAAAGGGGAATTAACTGTGTTCTGTAATCATTCCTCTCGGTTTCCAGATCCCAGCCCCACCCCGAGTTGCAGTGAGAGCTGGGCAGAGCCACGGGGCAGGGCTGCCCACCCTCTCTTCCCACCTTCGCCCGTGGCCAGCACCGCAGGCCTGCAAAGGCCGAGCTCCTTCGAGGCTTGGAGGAGCCGCCCCTCACCAGGCAGAGGGTGGTACTGAGCCCAGGAGGGAAACCCCTGCTCTGCAGCTGTACAGGCGGCTGGAGGTTCAGCTCACGGCCCATCTGTGCCACTAGCTGGGTGTCACGGTGGCCGAATCACCTACCAAGTCCGGCCCGCCTAGGGGACCGGTGTGCAGTGCGCCTGCCGCTGCTATCTGCCTGCCTGTGAGGATCCAGCCAGGACAGAGGCTGCTCCAGGAATCTCACACCTCAGCAGACCAGCACCGCACAAGAGGACAGTGACCTTCCGTTGCCACTGCTACACGCCATGCGGCGTAGGCAGGCATGGGCTCTGCAGAAACCCTCCAACAGCCAGCTTCCCCGCATAGGATCAGATTACCTAGGAGGGGACAAATAAGTAGTTCTGAAGATGGAACTTGCTCACAAAGTAAAATGTGAAGTCTACAGGGGAACTCAGACACAAGTGGTAAATCCACGGCCACGTGGCAGTGACGCCCCCTCTGTAAGCGAGTCCTTGGTCTACAGATCTCTTCCAGTATTCACCGCCCACCACAGCCTGGGGATGCTGGGCACACCAAGGAAAACCGAAGTTCCCAAATCTCTCAGAGCAAAAGGGTGTACAAAAGGAGGAGCCAGAAGTGTTTTTGTGGCAGATAAAACAGTTAAGAGACAGGATTAAGAATGACAGATTCCAAGTCCCCGTGGTGAACATGGAGTCACCCAGTCCAGTCTCCCTTCAATCTGAAGGACACGAAAACTGAGGGTCACACATGAGCTGAGACAGCCCTGGGGGCCCCACAACCAGCCCTGCCTCTTCCAGCCCAGCAGCCCGAGACTGAGGAGTTCTGCAGACATTTTACAGCGCTTCGGCTCCAGCAGTTTACATTCTCCATAAATTCTCTCTCCCCCAATTGAAAAGTATCAAGCGAATGTGCTTAAGCATAAATGACATTTGTCGTGGCCTCCAATCCGTGTACAATCAGGCTTTCCCCTCTAACACAAACGCTGTCCGCCTGCTCAGAGTTTTTCATTCCCAAGTCACAACACAACACGTGTCCTCAGGAAGGAAATCCAGTCCGCATGTCAGGATGCAAGCAAGCAGCTGCCCGAGTTCGTACTCCCTGGCTATCCTCCAAAGCCGCACAGGGATCTGCCCTCTGTGCGTGGATGAGTCTTCAGCTGTGTGTGACTTTCAAGTCTCCCAGGTGGTTCTTTGTTCTTTTCAATGCTTAGAATCAATGGCACTGACATTTTAAATGTGGCAATTCCATATGGAAAGTCTCTGCACCTTGCTGTTCATCAAGAACACAGGACTTTGCCTGGTGAGAGTTAGCAGAGAAGGTAGACAGCCAGGCCTCTCTCCTCGAATCCTGGTGGAAATTCTCCATGTTCTCCACCTGGCACTACTGAAGGTCACAAATGCTGGAGCTGAGAAGGCCCAAAATGGGAGATGAACAGCAAAATCTCTGTTCAGCACTGCCTTACCAGACCCTAACAGACTTAACTTCTTCACTCAGTAGAATCCGTGCTATGGGTCCAGTTCAGTCCAAACACCGGGTATGGCCCACCACTGTGCCGGGCACGAAACACATGAACAGTTCGTCTGGACTGCATATCCATGGACAGTCGACAGTTATTTGGGCTTCGATGCCTTGTACAGAGCAAACGTTTGTCGTTAAAACTACCCTGTGACAGGAGAGCCTTACTGGTGCCTGCCCACCAGGTCTTGTTAGAAGTGAAGGAATCAGGTGTGTGAACAGACCTGGTGACTACGGCCGCCCTCTCTGACAATCCTCAGCCGACCTCTTCCCCACTTAGGCATTTCTTAGCTATTTTCCTAATGTCTCATACACACATTAAACCACTGGAGTCCAGGCTAAAAAGATGTAAGGCTAAATGCCAGAAGAAACAAATGAGAAGAAGTTTCCCAGACCACAGGTCTAGCTCATCATCTCTCCTACCTTAGTGGGTTGTCTGAATGGGTCTCTATGTGACTCTCCAGTCCGTACTTGCAAACAAACTCCTTGAAACACACTGGGCAGTGAAAGACTTCATCACATGTCTTCTCCACGTCACCTGACTGTCCATCGTCCACCATCTTAGGGAAAAGCAGAAAGTGAAGTCGTGAAGTGGTCTCCACCGCGGAGCGGCCAACACCAGTCCAGGGATGTCTACTGAAAGGTTGTGTTCCCTGGCCGAGTGTTAAGAACGTGACTGTCCATCCATTCACACAACCGATACTCACTGGCCAGTCCCACCTACCCTCCCACCCATCCCTCAATCCCTTCATCCACTCAACATGTACTTAATATTGCTAAACACGAGATAAAAAGTGAGGACAAGACAGACCCCAAAGCTAAGGAAGCTTTCATTTTAGCTTGAAAGCAAATGCAAAGAGCATGGAAACAATTGTGGAAGCTCTTCATTTCATGCCTCAGCTCAGCAGGGGGTGCTCGAAGAGGAAGTATGCACAGGTATATTCTTTTCTTAGTCACTTTACAAAAACGGTGGGAAAACACAGGTTAAAAAGCCTAGGGTGGATGTCTGCCAAGTTCCCATACTGTGAAAATAAAGATTAGAGGTATTTTTGCTAAAGGTTCTATGGTGAGGCACGTCGGTGCCAGGAGCCGAGAGGACCTTTTTAGCAGGTGCTGGGTCTTCTCTCTCTGACTCAGCATCGTGACTCAGTTTCCTCTTGGAGGACAGCCGCCTGCGCTTCAGAGGGGATGGAGGGGCTGCAGTTGTAGCACTGCTGGGATCCTTCTCGTGAATCTTCATATGTCTGAAAGGAATATACATACACACAATATGAGTTAAGAACAGCAGCCAATCCAGCTCCCTTATTTCTTCTAAGTTTTTGGGATTATTCCTAAAAGCACTGGTATTGGAATTTTCTTTTTGCAGTGCCAGGGATGGAACCCAGGACCTCAGGCTGGTTAGCAAGTGGTCTGTCGCTGAGCTAGACACACCCCCTCACTCCTGAATTTCCATTAGTTAAGAGACACAGAATACAACTTATACAGTGGCTTCTGCCTTCTTAAAACTTCCTAATCTCCTAGAATCTCTGTTCAGGCTCCTGTGAGTGCCATCCAGAAGGGTTACTCAATGTCTCACTGTTGTTGGAAGATGTTCATGAACTTGACTGGCATTAATGAGCTGGAAGTAAACTACCCGGTGACCTGCTCTACTTACTCAGACAAAAAGTACTATTTTAGGACACATGATTCTATAGAATAAGCATTCCCGCCTTCCTGAACTGTTCCACTGCTTGGAAGCCACCAAGTTACGGTTGTGGATTGGATCCCAGGAGCCAGGCCTCTGTCCTTCCTGTCTCTTGGAAGTACTCGGGGGTCAAATCTGAGACATGCTGCAGCAAATGCCCAGGGTGCTTAAGAGCTGAAAGCCCTTCCGTATTCCCCATGGGACCGTGTGGGTGACAGTAACGGGACGGCACCACGAGCGGGCTACAGGCTACAACGCTAACAGCTGCACGACGAGGACACCCACGTGGTCAGAAATGGCCGTGTGTAACATATTTATGTGTCTGGTCCAAAAGGGAGTTTAAGGGTCTGATGTAAGTGACCTCTCCTTTTTATTAAGTTCTAAACCATCCCAAGAAAAGGTGCCAAGATATACAGGAAAAAAAGAATGGCATTATAAACAACCCAATCCAGTTTCCTTATTTTCCAACATAAAAAGGGATTCATTTTGCTAGTGACAGTCACACCATCTGAGTGGGGTCAAACTGTGCCAGATGTAGGAATGCAGTGCAGCTTTTTACAAATAATTATTTTATGATGATTTTACTTGGAAAGTATTTTTATCTTTTGGTGGTGCTGCGGGTGGATCCCAGGGCCTCATGCATGTTCTGCAAGCACTCTACCCCTAAATGATGCCTCCAGCCCCTCAAGAAGTTCTTAAGGGTGGGAAAAACGGCAATGTTCTTGTGCACTCTCCCGTCACACCGGTGAAAAGTGGTTCAGGTCCGCCTCCTAGCTGTGCCGTCTTCAGAGGACACAGGCCCAGGATGAAGACTCCAAGCAGCTCGTGAGGGTTGGACAGATGCTCGCCGAGACTGTGCAGGGCAATGACGAGGTGGCCGGGATGCTGCATCCCCACACACAACCTGTGCCCTCCTGCAACGGGAGTCCCCTTTCCCGAAGCACGTGGATGCACAACGCTAGATGCTGCTGTGGGCTCTCTGGCCTGCTCTAGGAACGGATTCCAGCATCAACCCCCTGCCCCTCTGCCTCCCAACAGCCATCTGCTGAAGATGGGGCCTGACCTTTGAGAACAGGGACTCAGAAAGGAGGCTCAGGCCAAGCCTTGGTCCTCTTAGTGGGAAGCAATGCTGTGGAGCGGACGATGGAGTGGGAGGTAATGGACAAGAATTACAGACGATCACTCTGACAGCTGTTTGACTCCTTGCCCGATTATTGGGAAAGGATATCACTTCGTTCTTGGCCACCTAAAACCACGAGAAAGTTAATGATACAAATGGCCTTGTTTTAAGTACTAAAGTGACTGTGACCGTCCTTCATATCAACATTTGGGGTAAATAAAGTTGGTAAGGTTTCTCCAACATTTATCACACAGTGCTCCCCAATTTTAGAAATGTTAATGTTTTAAAAAGCATCCCTAGTCCTTTAATTTTTTTTTGGTACTGGGGATTGAACTCGGGACCTTGCACTTTCGAGACTGGCACTGGAACCACTAAGCTAAATCCCTGGCCCAGTCCTTTTATTTTTTGAGGTAGAGTCTCACTGAGCTGGCCAGGCTGGCCTCAAATTTGTGATCCTCCTGCTTCAGCCTCCTAGAGTGCTGAGAGTACAGGTGTTCACCTCCACACCTAGCTCTACCTACTTTATTTTCATCTAAGATGCCCAAGATTCCTCATTCAGACTGCCGTCAAAGCTTGTCTCCTCTGCTTTGCACTGAGCAGGTAACGATGTTGTCATTTTCCAGACCGGCCAGGGGGTGTGGGTGAGTGTCAGGATGTGCAATGATGGCGGGAGTGAAAACTGGCAGCCACCTTTCTGCAAAGTGGCTGACCGACAGGGACTGGAATTTTGCACATGTACCTCCTCACTCCACGAATCCCACTTGCAGAACTAACCACCTGGCCAGTGATAGAATGAGGGGAGTTCACACACCAACGGCTATAGAGGCCTCACTGCCGTACCCTGGCCGCCACGCTTCTGCTCTCAGCCCCCTATCCATTCTCTGCACAGCAGCCAGCGTGAGCTTCCAGACATAGAGCCAGCACTCCTCAGCCCACTTGGTTCTCAGGCAGACCTGCTCTCGGGGGTACACCTGCCCTCCCACCATCTCTCCTGCCCTCCGGGGCCTTTCACTCATCCAGCAGGCCCCCCGGGGCTGCACCTCGAAGTTCCAGCCATCCCAGGCCTGGTCCGACGCTAGGTTTCACACCTGCGACCCTCCAGTGAGGCCTTCCTGGAGGCTGTACAGCTCACTTAGGCGGAGGCTCTCATGTGCACTCTCGGTTTACTTCCTTCACAGCACACAGCGGAGGCCAAATCTACCGTGTACTTTTCCTTTTTTGGTTTTTGAGACAGGGTCTCACTCTGCAGTTCAGGCTGGACCTGAACTCACTATGTAGGCCAGGCTGGCCTTGACCTCTGGGCAATCCTCCTGCCTCTGATTACAGATGTTCCACCTCACCTGGCTAGAAATATCTGTTGATTCATGGAATGGACAAACAAAGGAGAGAAGGATGAAGCAGATGCAAAGTCCTTCTCTCCAAGTACCATCAGAACACGTTCTCAGGTTCAGGACACTTTAGGGTTTATCTCACCGGGATTGAATGTGAGCAAACTTGGGTTTTGAGTGTAAACAGTGCTATGCCAAAGGGAGTGTAAGGGAAAGTATTCCAACAACGGATGCCAAGGAAAAAGTTAGTTTTTCCCTTACTAGAATTCAGTTGTGCACATTCACTCAAAGTAATACCTTTACCCACAGTGGAGAGAGATTAATGTAAAAATCAAAGTTTGCTTCTGCTTCTGCATAGAATTCTGGAATTTTCCTTCAGAGGCATGGCATTTTGTCTCAGTACAATCCTGCCACACTGGGGGGTTCTGAGGAAGGAATTTGTTAGCACATCGAGAATCAAGAGAAATTTTCTGCCACAGGGGCCTTTATAACAACCACAGAGGCCTTTATAGTGATAAATGAGAACACAAATGTTACAGATGAGAAAAAAATCAGCCAGCACTTTTTCAGGCCTCTTTGAATTTAGAAGTGGATGCTGATTCCCATCTTAAGTTTTTTTTCCCTGTAAATCTAATCGTTTGCTTTCTACAATGAGAAGATCCACTTTGTTTATTTACTTTGTGGTGCTGGGGAACAAACCCAGGGCCTGTAGATGCCAGGCAAGCACTCTAGCCCTGGGCTACACTGCCCACCCCCAAGAAGATACATTTTGGTAAGGGTGGGGGACCATAATAGCAAGGCATTAGGGCTAAAGCAGATAAGGCGGGCCAGGGAGTCTGACCACGTCCTAAAGCACATCCCTCCTGCCTTCCCAAACCCAGGAGCTGCCTGTGGGCCCTTCTCAGGTACATCAGTCATTAGATTCTATCCTTTAGGTGCTGGTTTGGGCTGAGCAGCAAGCGGGACATTGAGTGAGATGTTGAGTGGGAAGATGGGGTAGAAGATGAAGAACATGCAACAACAATGAAGCCAGGGAGTGAACTCTGGACCTTGATGCATCCTGGAGATCAGGTCCTGGTTCTGTCCCCCTGCAACTGCGGTGATCTCAGTTACTTAGGCTGCCTCAGCTTTTGTTTGGTCGCCTGTAAAAAGGGGATAGCATTGCCAGTCTCTGCGAGTGGTGTCCAGACCAGGGCCCTCCAGCTGGCAGCACTGGCACTGGGCAAGGCGGTGACCAATGCAGATCCCTGAGGCAGCGCGTGGAGATCCGTTTCCACGTCCCGAGGGGACACTGACGCTTGTCTAAGTGTGAGGACCACAGGGCCAGCGGGGTTCTTCAGCCCTTTATGTGTGCGGGTTTGGTGACTATCTAAGGATGTTGAGTTTTTGGATACACTTGTCCAATCTCAGACTTGTCTTCCAGTAAACCACACTCTCTGTGTAAGTCTGCCACATGTAAACACTTCAGGAAGCTGGGAATTTAACATTCTGTCTTCTGGGGGCAAAATCCCTTGGGAAACCCTCAGCAAGTCAGTATGACCCAAACTGAGTGCTACCTAGTTGAGGTGGCATTCTTTAAACCTTCCAGTGTCTGATTCATGTATGAAGGTTAAAGCTCAGGCGCTCTAGACATTTCCTGTACCTGCTGACTTTCCTGTCTTAATTTCCTCATAGGTTATTAATGGAGCCAAATTATTTGCTCCTCTCAGCGAAGGGCATTTTTAGGAAGGTCGCTGTCAGTACACAGGGCCCTGCAGACACAGCAGGTCAGCTGACCCAGCATGCAGGGAGACCTGCTGAGTGCAGCCAGCTCCGGGAGGCTCCAGCTGCCTGGCTGCAGATTCGTCCCCACCTGTACCCAGACGCTTCCCGCCCAGTGATGCCTGGTGATAACCTGAGAGGGAGTAAGATCAACAAGCACCACAGCTCTCCAGAAACCTCCACCTCCAACCACTGATTCCAGAAGGATTTGTGTTTGTTTCCGTGGCAAATGCCTAGCAGGGGAGTTCAGGGTGGAGAGTCGTGTGACGCTCTAACATCCATCAAGATCTGTGCGGGCAACAGAGGACAGAGCTCGAGGAGGGGCGAGACCTGCGGAGAGGAACGGCAGTG